TCCTCGTGGAGTTCAAACGGAAGCGGGTGTTGGAGTACAAGTCGACCAGCTACGTCGCGCCCGGGAGCTACGTCGTCGTCGGCGGCGACCGCGGCGAGGACCTGGGGTTGGTGACGTACACCTGGTGTGAGGGGCCCGTGCGCGGGGGGCCGAGTGGGGGGGGGGGAACCCGCCCTTGCTTCCCCATCCCACCGGGCGACCCGGGGAGGCCGGGGAGGGGAAGGTGCGGGATGGGATTCGCGACGCGTTGTTGGGTGGGAAGCTGCTCCACTCCGGCGAGGCCGGGGAGCGGGAGGGGGCGGAGGGCGGGAAGACCGCCGGGGAGCGCGCGGTCTTCGGCGTTGGGCTCACCGGCAGCACCTTCACGCCGAGTATCGGGGTCGGAAGCGGGATGGTGCTGCGGCTCGCCACCGAGAAGGACGTGCAGCAGCTCCATGGTACCCAGACGGAGCTTGAGCACCGCGCGATCGACGTCTGCGCGCAGCGGGTGCTCGAGCACGAGCTCTCGATGGTCATCGTCGACGCGGAGTACCAGTTCGATAAGAAGAAGCTGACGTTCTTTTACCAGGCCCAGCAACGGCTTGACTTTAGGGATCTCGTGCGCGACCTGTACAAGACCTTTAGAGCTCGAATTTGGATGGAGCTGGTGGAAACGTGAGGTCCTTGGATACCAGAGAACAAGGGATCGTGCGCGATGAGGGGAGTGATAATTGTACATTCGCTTATATATTTATGCAATATGATGTGAATTGTTGAGGTGAGAAAGGTTAAGGAAAAGAAAAAGAAAAGAAACCCATTTACAATAAAAAAGATAGACAGAAAAATTTTAATAGATCAAGGACATTCTGCCACATAATAAACGAACAAATTCCTGTTCATATAATCGTGGTGGGAACAAAAAGAAACTAGTAAAGATTAACAGAGAGGAATATATATATATATGAGTTTTTTCTTTTTGGACGTATTGATTTGGACCTCAGAATATCTATTCATCCATATCTATTCATGTATCCATATACTTTTTCGACAAAAAGATAATTAGAGGCATCGTTTTTCGAGACTAAATTTGCAATTCTTGTCTTAAACTTATTGAACTAGCTCAAGAATGAGCTTTTTTTTTGTCTGTCTGCCTTTCCGCTGCTCACTAATATTTCGCTCTCCATAATGGTTCTGCTTTCATTCACCCTGGAGGAAAAAATTCTCAAGTGAGGGAACTTTTCACTCCCTTTTGTCACGTTGAGGAGGTACAATAGGGATTTCAAAAAAAAAAAGAAAATGCGTAGATATGAAGACCGTTTACACGTAGCTTTATATATATGTATACATACATACATACATACTTATATATCTATGTCTATATCTATATATATATATAGATATATATGTATATCTATATAAGTATATATATGCATATAGTATTGAAAAGAGGGTGTTTTATTCTTTTTAGAAAACCTCTTTCCTGCGTTTTGAACCCCTTTTCGGTAGCCTCAGGAGTCATGTTTTTTTGATACTATTTTCTTTATATCTATTAGCGTTTACATCCTCTCTTTTTCAACTTTAAACTTGTGCATGAAATTTAAATTAGAATTCACAACGCCTTCCAAACTTCTTTTTTATTTTTGGGTTCTATCGGTTATATGTTTTCCCTCGATTACTTTCATGCTTGGAATAGAATCATGAATACTTGTCGTTATTGTAACGTTACCTTGGGAAAATAATATATGCTATTATTTTTTTCTTTAAGAGTAAAGAAGATAATTAGCTTTCTATGTAATGTGTTTCTGTTCCCTAATCTGTTTTCTATGGAAATTTAGCTCGTGAGTGTGAGCAGGAGAGAATAGCAAAGTGAACACCAAAATTCTAAGGAATGACGCGTTGTAATTTATAAATAGTGAAAAAAAAGTATAACTTCTAAGGAAATTTGAGCAGCGTAGTGTCGGAGGATACCCTTTAAAAAAGGAGAGCTCTATGCTTTATTTCCTTTCACGTACCTCGAAGAAGTATTTCAATCTTTCCTCTCGTTTCTAGACCTCTTTCGAACATATTTGGATTGGTTTATTGTCAGAGTGCAGATCACACACAACGGAAGGCAAGTAGAGGGGGTTCAGTAGAAGAGCAAAAGGGCTTACGTGTCGGCTGATTAAGTCTCACGTTATTGTTCCTTTTCCTCTCTTTCCACATATTTGATTAGTTTTTTGTTTTTTTTTTAGTGCCCCTTGCTCTTGCAAAATGCTCCCAGAAGCTGCCGCGCTTTCCGCCACGACGCCCGCGGCTGGCCGTTTCTCGGATGGCCTGACAATTCCATTCAAGCGCACCCCACAAAGCTCCACGGAGGCCTCGCATTGGAAGGCGTTCTGGAGCTCCCAAAAGGGGGGTCTTTCCCCCGCCGAGCCGTGGGCAGCGGGGCCTGGGCATTCAAATCGTCTGTTAAGTGAAACGTTGCCTTTGTTTGGCTACAAATTAGCCACCCCAACGGAGACACTCCGCGTTCGAATTAAAAACGTTAAAAAAAACCTTCTTGATCTCCGCCCACTGCTCGCCGAGCAGGAGGAGTGCCTTCAGCAGCAGCAGCAGGAGCTTCGCACTTTGCGAGGGATGCTGCCTTCCGCTCGGATGGAGGCCTTTCACCTCCGTTGCCTTCAACTTCAGCTTCAACGGGTGTGGTTTGAACAGGTGGTTGTGCAGGGCGTCGTGCGAGAGGCGCTCGCCACCGCGCGGGGTCTTTCATCCTCGGAAGGGGCTCCGCCGCCAGGGCCCTCCGAAGCCACGTCGTCGGATGTTTCCACCGAAATTCGTCTGAGGCTGAGCGCGTTTAAAAGGTTTGTGGAGTTAGAGATGGCGTGCGTGCTTTCGCCGCGGTGGGTGGTTTGTCAATCGGCCTCGTCCTGGTATTCGAGAAAAGTGCAGGAGGCTTTGTGTGCGTGTTGGGAGGTGGCAAAAGCGAAGGTGCCCGTTGACGAGGAGTATTATGATTACGTGGATGTTATCGGAAGGTGGGGCCGACAATGGCCCTCTAAAGAGGGGGTTATGAAAAATCGTAGCGTGTGGTCCGAGGCCCGGCTTCATAGGGATGAAGAAAAGGTATGTTCTCCCAATGGCGTCTTTTCGGCCCTCCGGCGGACGATTGAGGATACTCTGCAGGGGGAGTCTTGTCGTCGGGGCAGTGACGTTCATCCAGTAGGTTGTATCGAGGATAGCAGTGGGGGGAGGGGACGGTAAATCTCAACGGTCTGTGGAAATTGCCGCAACAGGTTCGATGTAATGGGCAAAACGATGCCGGAACCTCTTTATTTTTTATTTTGTACTGCTTGTGTTTATTCCTTTGCCGTTCCTTGTGGTATTCTAGGAAGTCTATTCTCTAGCACTATGCTTTTCTCTCCTTATCATATTTAAATGAGATATGCACTCGTTTCGTATGTTGGTAATACTATGGAATAGTATGAGAAAGAGGGAAAAGATGGGGAGGAGTGTTATGTACGTATAAATTTTTGCGACCTCAAAGAATATTACTATATCTATGCGCATCTCTTTTGCGTCATTGTGTTTTTCATGCCGCCAAAAGGAGGACTACGAGAGTCATGATGTGTGAACCATGTGGCTTCTTTCCATTTTCATTTTTCATTGCCTGAAAGTTTCCGATCTTGGGCCTTTACATTGCTGTTCTCCTTTATTTAGTTACTTCCTTCCGTAAATTAAGGGTACAGAAGAGAAAGAAAGAAAGAGAGAGAGAGAGAGACAGAGAGGTACAACAGGAACACCCCGTCTTCTGTGCTCTTTTGCCCCTCGCCGCCCCCTCCGAACGAGTTTTTTTTTCTGTTGTGTGCGTGTAACAATTAGCATCGTTTCCTCGACGCGATGGAAAACACCCAACCAGCCCGGGCGTGGGTTGACGAGCAGGATGCGGTGGAGGAAAAGGAATTGCCGGCCTTTCTTCGGCAATCCGCGGCGCTGCCCTCCTGGGCGGTCTCCGACGCCACCCTTGAAGCACGCGCCGGCGCGAACGACGACGACGACCACCTCCCTGGTGAAGCCGCCGCGCGAAAGCGGTTTCGCTCCGAAGGCTTAGCCACCCTTCTTTCCCAGACGGCGCCGCTGTTGGATTCGAAAACGCGGGGGAATCGCGCGGCGGGCGCCGCGGTGGTTTCCACCCTTCCCCTCCCACGCGATGCCGCGCGGACGATCCAATGGCACCCCAACGGGCAGCTCGTGATCGTCGGGGGGAATCATCACGTCTACACCTTTCACGCCGCCGGGCGCTACGTGGAGCGGCTTTCCAAGGTCGACATCGGCGCTCGCATGGAGACGAGCTGTCTGACCAGCTCCGGCGAGGAGCTGCTCCTCGCCGGCCACGACGCGACGATGCCGTCGATGCTCGCCGTGGCGACGGAGCGGCTCACCCCGCTGCGGTTTCTCGACGCGCGCGGCACCGCGCCGTATCGAACGCCGCGGCGGGATCAGTCCAAACGCGACTTCGCGATCACGCGGATCGCGGAGCGGGCCGGCGTCGTCGCGGTCGCGAGCGGCCCCCTCGTAAGGCTCGCCTCCCTTCGCTCCGCGGGCGTCCTCGCGAGGCTCGCGCTGGATGATCCGGTGAACGACCTCGCCTTCCCGGGGCCGGAGCGGCTCGCGATCGCGACGGGGTCGGAGCTCCGCCTGTACGATCTTCGCCACACCGCGCGATTCCTCGAGGCGTTTCGCGATCCGGCGGTGCGGGGGATCACGCGGGTGGGGTGGGGGCCGCACGCCCTCGCGATCGGCTCGACAAGTGGGGTGGTGAGCCTTTACGACGGGGAGCCCGCCTCGCCAAAAGGGGTTTCCCCGATTAAAACGTTTAAAAATCTCACCACCGCGATCGACGCGGTGGCCTTCGGGAGGGATCGCGCGGGCGAGGTCGTTCTCGCCTTTTCGACGCGCGCGCAAAAGGCGGGGTTTCGCCTCGCGCGGTTGCCTTCGTGCGGCGTCATTCCCTCCTTTCCGGCCGCGACGATGCGGCATGGTTTCGTGCAATCCCTCGCCTTCGCTCCTACCCTCCCCATCCTCTCCGTGGGGGAGCGGCAGAAGGTTACAAACTACTCCATCTAAAACAGGTGGAGAGGGGCTGTAGATGGTTTGATGGATGGGTGGGAATGGGGGGAGTTCATCTTTTTTTTCCCTCGTTTTTTTTTTTGTTCGGGTGTGTGGTAGTGAATAAGGGGCGAGACCCCTTTTTTCTTTCCCCCTCTGTGGGGTTGGTTCGCTCGGATAAATAATAAGGATGTGTTTCGCTTAACAGAACTAAAGAGTGAGAGCTTAAATGATAAACATTCATCTCAAATTAAGGGATAATGGTGGCGCGGACGTAGCTCGTAGCCTTTGAAGAATGGGAAGTGATGGCTCCGAGAGGAAGGCATCGCTTTTGATCGTTATTCCTTTTCTATAATAATCCTTAACGTAACAACTATACTAGGTAGTACAAAGGCATTGCTGATACGAACAGGAGTAACCTGATCCAAAGGATGATCCGAGGCTTGTTTTGCAAGTCTCTTTGTCTTGAATTTTTTACAGATCCTCAGTTTTAGTCGCATGCAAATCATTGCAGTCTTGAGCTGCTATTATTTACATGAGCCACCCCCTCGTTAGGGGGTTTTATCAACGGCAAAATATGCAGGATGGGACTTTGAGAAATGACGGTCTTCCCAACCATGATGCCCTCTAGGACTCTGTGCCAGCACACCGTTAAATCGGCTTCCCATGGGAACAAATCATAATATCGTCCAGGCAGTCGTTATTTTCCTGGATTATCTGGTAGTTTTCCATCGGGAAGATTAAAAGCAACTACACCTCATTAGCGGCATGAAATCCCCTGGCAAAGATCCTTCAGAGGAGGTGGAATAGAAGGGTTGGGGGTGGGATCATGTGAGCAAGCTCTAAGGGCGTGTGCTTCTCATCTGAGAGGTTTGCTTACATTACTCCAGTAGCAGTGCGCGCATTGGGGCTGCTCGGTTAGAAGGTCATGGTGCTTTTTATATCTTCCATTCGTTTTGCTTTCATCTCCTAAAGGTTTTTAAAGTTTTCATTCACAAGCATGGACGGCAAAAAATGAATGACCAAAGCGGTTTTCCTTTTCCGTGATTGCTTCCTATTTTTATCTCTGCTGTCAAGCAGTGAAAAGGAGGTTGCTTCACTAGTCTATATCTCCTCTCTCAGCGAGTTTCTTCACTTTCTTATTAAATATTTTGTATTTTATGGGGTCAAGGAAGGAGTACCATTTGACTCCTTTCATCGATTAGGTTTTGATTTAGAGTTACTAGTTATTTCCCCCCTACCCTCTCTTTTTTTTCCATTTGTGCGTACGAAAAAGGATGAAAGGAGGAATACAAATCCTCAGAGGAAAGCCAAAATAGAAAGAACTTCAACGATATAGAGCTTCATCTAGATATTGATATAGAATTCGATTGTTATTTGTATTATATACACACTTGTAAAGTTGCCTTGCACGCATATACGTAGGGGAAAGAAATAGGCTTAATGAGAGTGCACACCTATCATGAGCACACTATCTGCCACTCGAGCGTTTTACTAGGTGGGCTTCTTCACGCGCACTTGGGTTACTCTATTTTGTTTACGACACCGATTTGGTGCGCGCATTTAGGTCGACGATGGCGTAAGACGGAGAAGGGGTCTTCTCGAAAGGGGTGGTTTCTTTTCCTTCTACTTCTTTGGTGGCTAGTGGAGGTTCCCCGTCTTTACCTAGGCCTGCACGCAAATCCACGGATGTTGGTTGGGAAGTTGGGTGGATTTCTTTTCCTCTCTGTCGTCCCTCAAGTCGTCGTTTTCTGTTTGTATATTTCTCTGTTCCCACATGTGAACGACTTAGAGCTTAGTATCTGTGTGGTTCAACTAATTCTGCTCTCTTTGGAGATTATCACAGCGTTTCGCTTACTCATTCGACTGATGCGTTACAACACGGTAGATTACTATATTCATTTTTGGAATCCTTCCTACTATTGAGCAGAGGTCTTCTTTTAGGTTGAAATCTTCTGCTTTCTCCTTCATTATCCTTCCCTGACCTACTTTCCGGGAAATGTTCCATTTGTTCTTGTTAGTGTTTCCGTGAGTATTTTATTGGGATACTTATCGCTCACTTTCTCCTCGAACTGAGGCTCTTGAAGCTCTATAACTTCATCAACGCTTACCTTATTCGCTTGAAGCATATTGGATATTCTGTATGTGTCTTCATCGGTTTATGATCACAAATAACGCAGTTTCTTTTCTTTTTTTTTGAGGGGGGGGGGGAGGGGGGTTGAGGTATGTGATACATCATTTCATCTTTTTGTTGTTGTTATTGTTTTTCATTTCACACAGTCGTATCTGGAGAACTTTCCACGCCTCATAGTAGTATCTGGACTTCTTTGTTTCCCATCTCCGCTCGGCTTTACCGTGAACGGGCCCTGGTGGGAATGGATCGCACGGCCACTTTACAGGATTTATTCGTGCGGTATCGCCGTGAAACCGGGGGGGGGGGTGCCCGCGAGGCCCTCGCCCGTGCCCGCGCTCTCACCGAGGCGCCACGCGCTGCGGGAGGCCGCGGTGG